GAGCTGGGGCGCCGACTGTGGAGGGGATGTCCGTGGTGGGGACGAACCTAGCGCTTGTTGGAGCAGGGCAGACACTTCGCGGACGCTTTCTGGGTAGAAGGCCTTGCTAACTGGAGCGGTAGTGTCATTCAACGGCGGAGCGCTCGCTTCTGCGGTATCTTGGGCAACTGCGGTCTTCACCACACCGTTATCGACAATCACCGCTGTGACCCACGATTCCAGCTGACCTCCACTTAACCTCCTTCCAACTTCTTTTATCTCCACAATTTCATCTTCCGTAGATTCTAGAAGGATTCGGTGTTTTATGTCATTATGTTCACCCTCGATCGCCGTCTCTGCTTCATTGTTCACTGTCTCTCTTTTATATTCTAACTGGACAACGTTTGTATCAATGTTATGATTGCTTGTTTTTCCAATCGAATCATCATCGTGTTGATTTACGATAATGCTGCCATCAGAAGCAACTATCGGACTTGGAATGGAGCTACTTAAATCATTCACGTGATTGATTCCTTCTGTGGCAAAGAAGCTGTCACAAGAACCGATCAAATGATTATTTTGAAGGACGGTGTCATTTGGACCAACCCTGTGGTCGCTTGCAGTGACCGGGTTGGCTGACACTGAAACAATTGCCACAGGGTAGCTAAACTGTTTGGAAAAACAATTTCTTTGCGTCTCTTGTTGGATGGTCTGTACTTCATCGCCCATTTTTCTATCTCTTCTTCAGACCTGAAACGACAAAACGAAGTTTTCCTTAGTTAACATTAACCCCCATATTACATTTAAATTCTATCGTGATGGGGAGGTGAGGTATGAGTTAATAATCGATAACTCTCTTAGCCCCGATTTAAAATATCGGTCTGAAAACCGGTTACCCAGAGATTTTTTCATGATCTTATCAGACTGAAAAAAATCATTGGATTTCATGATAAAAAAGGCCTTGACCGTTTCCTTCTAAATCCTTCAATACTTTCCTTGGCCATCTTTATCTTGCCGTACGACGTCGTATGTAGTTGACAAAGCGTCGTTAAATAAACCAAATATGTTAAAATATTTTACTGTATTATATTATTGTTATAACCATTTACACAAGAAGCTGGCTGTTAATACTAAATAATTATATTTGGACTTTTCGGTGAAGTCTTTCGACATAAATGTGTTAAAGTTAATTAAGTGGCTGTTAGAATCCCGGGAATAGAGCCACGGTCGTCCAATCCGCAGACAGTTGCATTACCGACTAAGCTAACCCGCTTAACAAATCCCTGATACGTTTCCTTTACACGCTGCAGTAGTTGGAATATGAATTATACAGAGTGAGTCAGAAGTATGTTTACAAAATTCGTGTGCGTTTTCCATAATCAAAAATAAGATAAAATGTTCCTGTGAACATGGGGTCGCAAATGTTTCATTTTCGAAATAATATCCAAAAATAAATTTCAATGAATTGACTTCATACCAAAGTGAATCTATAGCTTCCAGCAAAGATTTTCAATTAACGTTTGCGCAGGAATTGTTGGCGACATATATGTGGTCGCAAATGGTTCATTTTCGAAATAATAGCCAAAAATAAGTTTTAATGAATTGACATTATATCAAAGTCAATCCAGCTTCCAGAAGAGATTTTATATTAGCGTATGGGCAGGAATTGTTGGCGACATGCTTATTGCTTCCATCGCATCTAAGAGGACCTTCAAATCGGTGATCCGCAAGAAGACACTTGCAACGTCTCGTTGAAGATGTACCACTGAATACTTGAAGACAAATGTGGTTTATGCACGACGGAGCCCCAGCACACTTCTAACATCGTGTCAGAGATCATCTCAACGAACAGTATCCTCAGCGATGGATTGGGCGTGGTGGCCCATAACATGGCCACCGAGGTCACCGGACTTGACTCCATTGGACTTTTATCTGTGGGGTCACTTGAAGTCCGTCGTCCATGCAACACCCATAAACATTAATGACGACTTATGGGAATGTGTGCAGAATGCATGCCAGATGATTCGAGGACATCCTGGTGTGAACGATCGAATTCGTCAGTCTTGAGTACGTCGTGCTCGGGCATGTGTTGAGAATGGAGGAACAACCTTCGAGCATCTGTTACAAAGAAATATCCATGTCCTTATACTTGGCAATAAAGGCATACGTTGAAAATTATTTTTGGCTATTATTTTGAAACATAAGCATTTGCGACCGCATGTTCATAGGAACATTTTTTCTTATTTTTAATCCTGGAACACGAACACGAAGTTTGTAAACATACTTGTGAATCATCCTGTACATATGTAGTTTCTGGAGCTTCGGGAGCCGTGTTTGTAGCTGAGGTACAAATCGGATGGGGAACAACAAAATTTCAACGCAATTACTGCTAATAGGGCGGAATTACAAGAACAATATCGTGCGTCTGTTTCCATGAAACAGTGTTCAGGGGGAGACGCCAGGCCGCAGGGACCAATGAACACAAGAACGCCATGAAGGCGCGCAGAGAACGGAACTTAATAGAAGGCAGTGATGAGCTTCACACTTTGGCCGCATTAGACTGCGTGGGTCGTGACAAAAGGCAAAATAACTTATGGTTATACGTAAAATAACGTATATCAAATCAAAAAGGATTTGAAAGGAGATTTTAATTTTAAGGAACCACTTTGACATGGACTTCTTAAGGAGAAACGGAGCTATTCATATCCTGTATTGACGTAAAAAGAGAAGGGCAGTCAGAACTTCAGATGCAATTTTTAGAGATGATTCACTGCCCGAAAAAATATACACACAATGAAACATTCATATCGTTTTTATCTCTTACGTTTTGTCGGAAATGTTTTCAATATATCAGAAACGAATATAAGGTTAGTAGACATCTAATTTTATAATGGTTATCAATTTGGGCTCAGGATGAATATTCTTCTTGTATAAAAGGCACGAGATTTCTTGACTATCTGAGCGACTATTAGCTTGTCAAGAAGTTAGCATATGAACGCGTTTCATCGTAAGAAACAAATTAAAATTTTTAAAGCAACTAAAATATTTACCATACCTAATATAACATTCGAAATAAAATACTTTTCGATCATTTAATATAATAGATACAAATGTTTAATTGCGTCTTGATTTAAGAACCAATTATAATTTGACGAGCAGACCTTTTCGATGTTCAAATTCCCTTATTAGAAATGTGTTTAAATTTCCTCCTTTAAAACTAGGCCCGATCCTTCCCAATCTAAACCCAGTATGTAAAATCTAAAAAGTGTTGGAACATTTAATTATTATAAAAGAGAAATGCTGTTATCGAACAGAAAAAAGACCCACTTTCTGTTACTTATATAACACTGATCACAATCGATAGCATTAAAACAAGTCAACAAATCGGTGGCCTGTTAATTTTAAAATCCTTATTTAATAATTTAATTAAGAGCTCGGTGGTAACTAGACGGACTGCTTGCTGTTAACATTTAGTAAACCTGCATTATGTCCGCGTAATATATTTATGGATTTCGTATGATTCTTACAGCAAACAGCGATTATTCCCTTCAACAGCATCGACTACCTGATTTTAGTAATGGAGAAATGTTGCGTTATTTAAGGCAGGGACTGAAATTTTTTAAATATCGCTTCAACGAGCCTGATCTCACTGGATAGGAGACGGGAATCGAACGCAGGTACTACAGCCCGAAGAGTCATTCAACTGACAGTTGCCCCAACTCTAAAACTCTTTTTACAACATCTCGGTCCATGCGTCCACTACATAAACTCGCGAACAAAGTCTAAATTTCTTAAACAAACGAACATCGCAACTGCAGACAGGAGACGAGAATTTTCGACGGACCAGCAGTTCTGATGTGGGCCGGTAAATGTTAGCAGGCCATCTGTTTGTGGTTTAGCTTCAGCCGTTGATAAAATTCAATTGTTTTAAGTACGGTTATCTGTTATACTGCCCACGACACAAAACATCCGCGTATCCCTAATGGTTTAATGTTTACAGCCGGTTTAATAAAACGATATTATATCCGGTCACGGCCCGCTGAGACATTCTGAACCTGAGGCTGTATATAGGGCCTGTAATTTAACTGGAAAATATGGAAGGTCATCAACGGAAGACGACGCTGCCAAATGACGATACACTTAAACGTTTATGTTCTTATGAGGCTACAGGCGTAAATTGGGGTATAATGCTAAAAGGGTATTAGAGAAATATTCTGCGTAGATACGAACAGGATAGAACTGGCTCATTGTCAGGATTCTATAGTAGGTTTTTTATGACTATGAGTCTTCAGGTTTGATCCTATCACTTTCAACAACAACTGAATGAATATCACCTTTTCAAATAATACGTTATAAGTGTCTTAAACAGACATATACTATTTATTTGTGATTATTTAACGACGCTGTCAGTGTCCCAGACTACGTAGTGTCGAATGATACGACCATCAACCCTTTAAAACCGAAGATCGCATGAATAATACTTAAAATCAAAGTTACCTCAAAGAAAACGTGTCTCAGTAGGATCTGAGGTGTCCAGGGAGCCGAATACAAAGATGGCTGTCGTCTAGGTTCTGCCTCTGACATCAGGGCGATACCCTGATAATGGACTTCTACCACACTACACGGCGCTACATCCCAGAGGACAGGCATTTTCTTAAAACACATCTCCATTATAAAGCCTAATAACAGGAGGTATACATAGTTACCACCGAGCTTTAAAGAGTTAATGAATAATAAAACGGAAAGTATATGGAAGGAAGCGGTCGTCGCGTAATTGGAGATACCATCCCGGCGTTTTCTTTGAGTGACTGAGGAAAACACGAAAACTTCGTCGTTCTCCGAACTTAAACCCGGGACTTCCTCAATGCTAAACAGGAGTAACGTCCATTGAAAATTGTGTGGGACTTAGAGTCAGCGTGGATACGACGGCGCCACGATACTGCCCTGCTGGGTATCGAACCCCAGACGCGAAGTTCGTAGTATAGTCACTACACTGAACGAGTTACATCGTCGTAAAAGCCAATTCATTCATGATCAAAAGTATAAAAGTTATTAACGTTATTATGTAACTTGTATTTGAAGCATGTCACTGCGATGTGGGCGTACAGAATAGACGAAAACGTAAAATACAATTTACGCTTCTATAAAATGTAATATCTGTGCTCTTAATTAGTATTGTAATGGACCGACTAGTAGAACGTGCAATAAATGAACATCAGACCACTGAGAGATAAAACACAGCAAAGAACGCGAATTGAAATAAAGCCTTCTGCTTCTGCTCTGGTTCCCAAAATGGCATTTCTGTGTCATCCGCTGCTGCTAATTGCGGATGTGTGCAGAGGGCGTGGCACTAGCTGCGGTAATAATTAAGACGCCACGTGGGTAGCAAGCTGACCCTGATTAAGTGTTCATGACCTGTTATATCGGCTAGCAACGCGTGGCTCTAAGGTCACGGAACCTGGTTCATATCTCGTGGGACGCAAATCTGTTCGTTTTTGTTAGAACGACCTAAGCGACATCGGATATATCACGGTTCTCATGGCTACGAGTAAAAAGATGACTACGTTCTGGGTTGTTGCCTTGCAGTCTGGTAGAAGTTTACCGACGTTTCAGAGGCTTCTTCTGATTCCACGATCAGGGCGAAGCCCTGTGAATTTCTACCAGAACACATGGCACAACGACAAACGTTTTGATCGAGTGGTTAGCACCCCTGCTTCGTATTCGGGAGGTCCCGGGTTCAAATATCGGCC